AAAAATAAATTAATTAATAAGTCCTGCCAACAAATTATGACTGAAACTTGCTATGAAAGTGAAATTGATCTATATGATGTTATTACTTTCCAGTTAAATGTTTTGTTATGTTAGAAAACTTTCATTTATCAGTAGACATCAGGCACCATCAGTACATGAGAAAACACATCTGGAAGTTTGTGACAGAGAGTATGTAAATATGTATCACAGAACTCTATTTCTTCAAAAAAGATTCACAAGCAGATGGATATTCTAAACTTTCAGGTGCTAAATTCCTGTGAAGTTGAATGGACTTTTTAGTTCTCATCCTTTCGCCTTAAATCTTGCCAGAGCATGTGTTGAAAATGTTGGCCTGTGGTAAGAAGAAAAAACAGAGGAGTTCCTCAGAACAATATAAGTCATGACAGCATTGATGTTGCAGCAGATTAAATTCCTGCTAAACTGCGTCTCATTTGTTGAACAACCTTTGAGCCAATCACTGCCATCAGGTGTTTCCTGTAGCTCTCAGTCAGACTTCTGCACCTGTTGACAGGTATTCTGGCCCAATGCTCAGCAAAGTGCTCTCATTTAACAGATTTGTTTGTTTCTTGTTTTTTTGAATTATTCTTTTCAACAACAATGTCTTACTTCACCAAATTATAATTTAGCAAATTTTTATTTATTGTTACTTTTTTTGTTGTTGTTGTTTTAGTTTCTAGTTATTTGAGTGACTATTGTGAATTTTGCCTTTTCTTTAATGGACGGCAATGAATACATTTGAGGACGACTGTATGTTTCAGGCTTGTTTTTAAATAACATGTCTGCAGCTGATATTCTTTAGTTGAGAAAACAAAAAAACATTCATTACAAATCCTAAATAAGCTGTGCCAGAGATCTTTGCTTTAATATGACATGTATTGGTTAAATATTGTCTCTGGTTTAACTCCCAGACATGGACCTTTGTTGCACGCTCTGTTTCACTTGTTATTTCTTCAAATACTTGTCTCCTCTGTGTCTGTCTTCTCCTCTACTGCTATTGGGAGACGAATGAGTTACAAAGATTGATGTTTAGCATGGAGCCAGTACACAAATTGTTCATTAAACTGCTTTTACTTTTTAACAACCGTCAGCTCTTTGGCTGCATCACTCGCTCATCTGGCAGCTTGTATATTGTAGAAAAGAATAAAAGAATAAATATCAAATTGATGGCATTTTAAAAACAGAATTATTGTATTACAGTTGAAAAATGTTTGTTTGGGGACACTGGGTGATGAGCAACTGACAAAACTACTGCAATGTTTAGCTTTGTGGGGTTAAATGAACTTGCTGCACACAGTTTGTTGCATTAATGTGTGTGATATTAAGGTTGGGTATTTCTTTGTTGTTTTTTTTTTTCAGGGATGGGTTATGGCAGTCAAGTGGTTGTTTTATACTCCAGCATCTATTACATTATCATATTGGCCTGGGCATTCCTGTATCTCTTCTCCTCTTTTGCTTCTGAACTTCCGTGGGCGAGCTGCAGAAACAGCTGGAACACAGGTAGGATCTTGGATATTATAAATCTTAAGTGCCATCATGACTAATTGCGTTTTGATTGAGTTGAGGTAAATGATTATGTCACTGGCTAGTTTGCTGGTGTCACATGTTAGTTGTGTCTGCTGCAACTCACCAATGTGTCATGTTATCAGCTACTTCAGAGAGTAATCATTACTGGAGCAAATCCCTGCATTTAAGGAGTTTGTTTTGTATCTACACTCGTTTTGCTTTAAACAATTTATGTCTGAAGAGGCTCAACAGTCAGTATCCTTCACTGTTGGTCTTTACATTAGCTATTATTATAAAAATAAATGTAAAAAACAAACAAACAAAGTAATATAATTTGAAATTGATAATTTTAACAGAAGCTTTTTCTTTTTTTTGCTGTGGACAAAGTTGGTCTCGTTGAAAATGTGCTTTGCTATTGGGCCTGTTGTACAGACTAAGTAGGGTTACTGATAAATTTACTATATTTTTAGCAGACTATTGGTCTTTAGTTCAAAACTTTAGTAAACCTATCTTATTTATTTTGTATTATTTGTTGATTTGTTTGTTGTTTTACTGGGATTGTTTGTCATATATTGTAAATGATCGTGAATTATTTAATTTTATTTATTTGAAATTAGTCTTGAGTTTCCAGGTTTGCTCTGCACGGTTTAATGCAATATATATATAGTTTTTGTTGCTTAACATACTTAGAAATGTACTCCAGATACATTTTAAGATATAAAAAAGCATAAAGAACAATTATTGCTTTTTCTAACAATACAGTTAAATAGTTTTTAAATAGAATTGTTAAATTTTGATGAATGTCAATCAATGAAAAGTGTCCTTCCTTCAGCAGGTGAATGAGGAAACAGTCTTCTATCATTAAACTCATCACATGTGTTATTCTGTACAGTGAACTACAAACATCCAAGTGAAATTTTCAAGTGGTTTTGAGGTTGACTTTAATCTCTAGAACAAGATTCTACAATCCTACAAAAGAAATGTATTACTAACAGTTACTAAATCAGTGTAAAATGATATTTGAATACCTTTGTTAGTCATTAATCAATTGACCCCTGTAAAAATAAATTAAATGACAGTTGCTAAAAGAAACAGTTTGGCAGGAGTTGATGTAATGTGTGCACATTTCCTCACAAACATCCTGTTTCTCTTAGATACTTGCGTGGAGTTTGATCGAAGGCCCGATTACTTCAACATGACGGTGCCTGAAAATGCAACATCGCCAGTGAGAGAGTTTTGGGAGTGAGTAGAAAGCAATACAAAACCAAATCTGTATGTGCAAAACCTCTGAAAGTGACATAAAAATGTAAATTCTAACTGATGCAACTGTGATTTACAGGAGAAGAGTTTTGAATATCACAGGAAGTATCCATGAGTTGGGCAGCATACGATGGGAGCTGGCGCTGTGTCTGCTGCTGTCCTGGATCATCTGTTACTTTTGTGTCTGGAAAGGAGTAAAGTCTACCGGGAAGGTAGGACAAGGCCTTGATTATTTCGTAACTTTTAGACGGGAGCAGGATAATTTCTCTTCTACCCTTGAATTATATCAAATTACAAGGCCCTGCTCTTATCACTGCACTTTTTTACATATTACTCATTAAAACTTTGGAAATCTCATACCCTTTCCTCTAGTCTAGGAGGGTCTGGAAGGTGCTAAAATAAGATAAAATAAACCATCCAGAGCATACTGCACAATTTCAGCACCATTTCCATCTCGGCTTAGAGCGATAATTGTTGCCTCTCTGCCTCTTTTTCTTTCCTCGTCTCTGCACTCTGTGACAGTTACTGTTAGTAATAAGGGCAGGACTGAGCTCAAACCCTAAAACCAAGTGTTCACCTTCAAACGCTCATTCAAAGTTGTCATTATGATTAAGGTCCTCACAACCACGAATGTCCTCACAACGACAGCTCTGACTCAAGAGGGGTCCTGACAGAGATAGCTAAACAAGTACACACACACACATGCAAAAAAGTAAGACTTCACTTTAAAAACTTCAGATTTGTATAATGGAGTTTTTGTCCTCAGTGTGTTTATGTACCCACAACATGAGTACACAGAGGAGAGCAGGGCACAGAGGTGTTTGTATTTTACACCAGGCAATGTCCATTTTATTGTCCATATATGCAATAAAATGTATCAGTAATGAAAAGCCATGCAAGCAATTTAACATCTGTTGGGAGCAGGCAAACATACAGAAATGCGATGCTCCCAACTGCTTTTTCCATCAACAAGACGTCCCCTGTTCACCGTACAACCCTTATGAGCTATATGGTGCTTATTATGGTAACTTTACCACATAGTTGTTAATAAAAC